GTAGCCACATAATTTTGCATTCTTGCTAGTGATGTATGAGAGAACCAATTGCTCCATGTCCATGTTAGCATTTGATGTCATCACTCTTAATTTTAGCCAATGATGGTTTTAAGGCAGAAAAAATAGGATGAACAAAATAGGAATGTCAAGTGGGAGAAGCTAATTTGGAGACAGATGACAGTGGGAACACTAATTTCAGTTTTGCTTTATTAGAGTTTAAGGTGTTTTCAACTTAAAAAATGACCCTATAGGTTCTATAACTTCTCATATAGAATTTTTAAAAGAATGGCCTGTTGGAGTTAGGCAGTCATGAGTTTGAAGATTGGCTTGCCTACTTTCTGTGTGACCTTAGATAAGTTACTTGTCCTTTCCGAGCCTTCGTTTTTCTCATTTGTCAAATGTGAACTAATAGATAGTTGTACTTAGTATAGGATCTGATGCAAGGTTAGCATTCAGTGAATGGTAGCTTGGTATTTAAATATATATTTTATGCCCCCAGTAACTTGTGAATTTCTTGCAAATCTGAGCATTTTTTTTCTTTCTAGCTGTTTTATTCCCCAATTGTGTTAGTTCCCCATACCAGTAGTCAGAGTGATTTTATTAAACACTGATCTTGTCAGTTGCTTCCTTGTGCCGATGCCTTCAGTGGCTTCCGCAAGTGCTTAACTCCACTTGTCCTTGTCTGGGTATGATTATCTTAGGAAGAAGCCTTGATTAGGTCCTGTGTTGAAAAGATCTCCTTTCAACCTTTTTCCTTTCTACCATTTATAACTACTGTAGTTGTTTGTTTAATCTTTCTCTTCCCCTCTCTGTACTTAACTGCTTGTGTATAACTATAAAATCCATGAAGGCTGGCACATGGTATAAGTGCTCAGTAAGTTTGTTTAATAGATTATCTTGTTTTAAGTTACCAGAAGACAAGGACATTTCATACTTAAATTCTTTCTGGTATTTTAACATATTGCTTTCTATGGCGTAAGTTCTTAACAGATATTTTTGACTCTAAGTAATGGTTTGAAATAAGCTATATAGAATCACTGGGTGAAATAAGATGAAGAGTTTTTAAAATTATTTTAGCATATTTCTATTATAACAGTAATACTTCATAGGAAATTTGGAAATCATAGAAAAAGCAGAAGAAGAAAATGTAAGAGTATTGCAAAGTCTCTTGGCAGATGCTTTCAGATTGCTTTCGAAAAGGGTTTTGTTGGTACACTCTTTATCAGCAGTGTTTGAGCAGTTCTATTCTCCATCTTTTCAGAATTTAAAGATTTATAATTTGATAGAAGAAATCGATAACTTACTGTAATCTCATTTATTGATCATTTTCCATTGAGTTGTAATGCTGCCTTTTTCATCTTTAATTGTTATATGCTAGGGTAGGTTTCTGAAAAATGCTGTTCATTAATCTTTTTATTCTTTTTTTTTTTTTTTTTGAGATGGAGTCTCGTTCTGTCGCCCAGGCTGGAGTGCAGTGACGCGATCTCGGCTCACTGCAAGCTCTGCCTCCTGGGTTCAGGCCATTCTCCTGCCTCAGCCTCCCAAGTAACTGGGACTACAGACGCCCGCCACCACACCCGGCTAATTTTTTGTGTTTTTAGTAGAGACAGGGTTTCACTGTGTTAGCCAGGATGGTCTCGATCTCCTGACCTTGTGATCCACCTGCCTGGGCCTCCCAAAGTGCTGGGATTACAGGCATGAGCCACCGCACCTGGCCATCTTTTTATTCTTATATTCCTGCCTCATCTATTTTAACTCCCATAACGTTAAAAATATTTCGTATGTGGCAGGACTAGGCCTCTTCATTAGTTTTGTCTGTGGATTTTTATATATTTCTTAGATCTCTTCCTCTCTCTCTCATTTTAGGGCGAAATCATCCCTCATGTCCTTAACTGCTTGTGTGTAACTTTTTCTCAATAGACTATCTCCTACCAACCTCTCTCTTTCCCTTTCCTGAATGCTGATTCTCACCATAATTCTATAACATAATGTAAAGGTCTCAGTCTGCAGACCTGCCCAAATGGGAAAAATAAGGACAATCTAATATGTATTTTGCATCAGAGCACACGGGTATGTTGTATGTATATATGTGTATATGTATGTATTACACCTGTGTGTGTATATACACACACACACACACACACATATATATGTATGCATGTTGTTTAAGGTTGCCAGCTGGTATTTCTTGAGGATTGTCATTGTTCTGGGATTATACCCTCAGTGGCCTTATTTAGCAAGATGTTGCCACCCTATGTTGGTTCCTAGAATTGTACTTGAAACTTTTACCTAACTTGTAAAATCTAGAAATATGGGAGCCATTACTTACATTTCACACCACAATGTCTTTCTTGGTGATGATGGTGTAGTAATCGCGTTGTTTTGTCCGCCGAAAAGCGTACAGTGGAGTCACAGCTTATATGGGAGTTAGGTTTTTTTTAGCATCACTATGTAATAGTAGCTAGTCAGAATTGCCTTTGCAAGTTACTTGTAAAGTGATGACACCATGTTGGAGATGTCTTTCATAAGTCTGGCATAACTTTTTTCCCTCAAGCACTGGAACAGATCACTGTTTCTTTGCGTTGAAACAAGGCGAAGCAATTTGCTTTTATTTAAGGGCCATGTTACATACAACTTACTCATCTTTAACCATTAGAATCACACTTTTCATTGAGAGGTGTGCGGTTTGAGAGCTGAAACCAAATGAGGTGGCTAGAGATTTACATCTTGCATCTCATGCTCTCTATGAGGCTCACTGTGGCTTAGTGGTGGCATGTTGGTTGGCAGAATCCTTTGCACTCATTGTTTTCTTGATTTTGTTTTTGCTTTTGTTTTTTGAGATAGGGTCTCGCTCTGTCACCCAGGATGGAGTGCAGTGGCATGAACTTGGCTCACTGTAGCCTCAACTTCTGGGTTCCTCCTGCCTCAGCCTCTCAAGTAGCAGGGACCACAGGCACATGCCACCATGTCTGGCTAATTAAAAAAAATTTTTTTCTGTAGAGACAGGTCTCATTATGTTGCCTAGGCTAGTCTCAAACTCCTGGGCTCTTGGAATCCTCCTGCTTTGGCTTCCCAAAGTGCTGAAATCACAGGTGTGAGCCACTGCACCTGGCCTTCTCTTCTCTTTCCAAGCATCCTCTTCCCTGCTCCCCTACCAAAAAAATCATGGGACAGGGAAGTCTTAGAAGATGCTTAGAAAATTTAAGATGGGTACCATAGCTTGTGACTGCAGTCCTGGCTACTTGGGAGTATGAGGCAGGAGGATCGCTTGAGCCCAGGGGATCAAGGTGAGCTATAACCATACCATGGCACTGTAGTCTGGGCTACAGAGCCAGACCCTGTGTCATTTTTTTTCTTTTGGAGACAGAGTCTCGCTTTGTTGTCCAGGGTGAAGTGCAGTGGTGCCATCTCAGTTCACTGCAACGTCCGCCTCCCCAGTTCAAGCGATTCTTGAGCCTCAGCCACCCAAGTAGCTGTGATTACAGGGGCATGCCACCACACCTGACTAATTTTTGTATATTTAGTATAGATGGGGTTCAGCCATTTTGGCCAGGCTGGTCTCAGTCCTGGCCTCAAGTGATCCCCCTGCCTTGACCTCCCAAAGTGCTGGGATTACAGGCATGAGGCACTGTGTCTGGCCCAGACCCTGTATCAAAAAAAAAAAAAAAAAGAATTATAGACTCAAAAAGTTGCAAATATACTACAGAGAAATCCCATGTGCCCCTTGAACCCAGCTTCTCCCAGTAGTAATATCTTACATATCTACAGTTATCCAAACTAGGAAACTGACATTGGCGTAATGCAGTTAACTAGATAATAGATCTTAACTCAGATTTCACATACTCATTTCAGTTTTTACATGCACTCATTTTTCATTTTCTTGTATCTCTGTGTGTATAATTCTAATTATTAAAACAAATACTTTTAGGCTGGACCTAGTGTCTCACACCTATAATCCCAGCACTTCAAAAAAAAATTAAAAATTAGCAGGGCTTTATGGCATGCACCTGTAGTCCCACTTACTCAGGAGGCTGAGGCAGGATGTTCACTTGAACCGAGGAGGTTGAGGCTGCAGTGAGCCATGATCATGCCACTGCACTCCAGCCTGGGTGACAGAGTGAGACCCTATCTCAAAAAACAAACATACAGTGAGCCATGATCATGCCACTGCACTGCAGCATGGGCAATAGATCAAGACCCTGTCTTTAAAAATAATAATAATAATAATTTTAAGCATAATTTTAGGTTTACAGGAAAATTGCAAAGACAATACAGAGAGTTCCCACACAGCATTCACCCACTTTCCCCTGTTGTTGACATCTTGCAGTGTTGACATCTTGCAGTGTTGTTGACATCTTGCAATTTATACATTTGTTACAGCTAAGGAGCCAACATTGGCACACTACCATTCAACTCCACATTTTATTTGGATTTTACTAGTTTTCCCCTAGTGTCTTTTTTCAGTTCGTGAATCAGCCAGGTTACCATATTACACTTAGTCATTATTTCCCCTTAGGTTCATCTATACTGTGGCAGTTTTTCACATTTTCCTTGTTTTTGATGATTTTGATAACTTTGAAGAACACTGGTAACTCATTTCATAGAATGTCCATGAATTTGGTTTTGTCTGATGGTTTTCTCAGGGTTAGGCTGGAGTTATAGGTTATTGAGAAGGTCACAGAGGTGATGAAGTGCAGTTTTTGTCACAGATCGTGGATGTGTGCGGTCAGTATGATGTGTCCCTGTTGATGCTGACTGTGACCAACTAGTGAGGGAGTGTTGGCCAGGGTTTCTACTGTGAAGTTCCTCTGTCCTGCCCCTTTTCATTCTCGTTGGAACAAGTCACTAAGTGCAACTTGCACTCAAGGTGTGGGAGGTCTTAAACCTCCTGGAGAGGGGGATTGTCTACAAAGATTAATTGAATTCTTCTAACAGGTCTTTTTAAACTTGATGAAAACAGCATGAGTACCGAATCAGTCTAACATGTCTGTTCTTTGCAGGGTGGGAAACCCCGTAAACACCGGAAGGATCGGCTACAAGATTTAATTGATATAGGCTTTGGCTATGATGAGACAGATCCATTTATTGATAACTCAGAGGCTGTGAGTAATGTATCTTTAATATAGCAGCTGATTCATTGTTTGTATGGGATAGTAGAAGTCAAGGGTAAAGTAACTTAAATAGTGCAGTGAATGTTTTTATTTGTGCTTTTAAAAGCCATGTTCACTACTTAAAGATTTTTTTACCTTTTTTTTTTTTTAAAGAATACTGCAGATTGAGAATTTTGTAATTTCGGGTTTGTCTATGGTGAGTTGTTATTACACTGTTAAAACAGAGCAAGTTTTATGAAACTTTTTTCTGTAAAAGGCTACATAAGTATTTTAGACTTTGTGAACCCTATGGTTTCCGTTACAATTACACAAGTTTACCATTGTAGCATGAGAGCAGCCATAGGTAATACCTAAAGAATAGTGTGGCTGCATTACAGTGAAACTTGACTTATGGTCTGGGAAATTTAAATTTCATATCATTTTCATGTGTCATGAAATATTAATTTCTTTTGTTTTTTTTTCCAATAATTTTTAAAATGTAAAATCCATTTCTAGCTTGCAAGCTGGTGGGCTAGATTTGGTCAGTGAATCTCATGGTTGCTGACTCTGTACAATGTCTTTATTTTCATATGCTCTGCTCCTGTCCAGTTACTGAAAGGACCTCTTGGGATTCTCTAATAGTTGCTCATTTTCAGATGTCTAATTATAGCGTTGACTCCATCATCACCCCTTGCTCAAACTGAGAACAAAAATAAGTTTTTAAAAAGGAAAAAGGAAAATCAAATGCTGAAAAACATTATGTTAAGCTAATGATTCTCAATCAAGGATGAGAATATTAGTACACTTATCTTAACTCAGACTTAAGGAATTAGGATTTCTGGAGGTGAGACCTACAGAGATTTTAGTGTTTTTTTTTTTTTTTTTTTTAATATAAGATTAACGTGCTTATGGTAAAACAACAATAAAGTACAAGGTGATTATGAAGTAGAAGGTAAAGTACACAAAGGCCCCACTCCTGAGAGGTAAATACTAAAAATCTTCTTGTGTAGTTGTCCAGAAATTTCAGAATTTCAGTGATACATATTAGTACATGGATATAATCCTAATGGCTGTTAGCAAATATACCTAAAGTACATAGTGTATTTGTCTAGTCCTGTTTGATGTACATCTAAATTGTTTCTGGTTTTATGTACATACAAATAATTGAGCATCTGGATGCTTTTATCTACCTAAGGAAATGTGTATGAAGGGTATTTGGAGAGTGCATTTATATGGGTAGGGTAAATTTCTAACAGTGGAATTTATTGGTCAAAGGGCATATATTTGCATCTTGATTTTTACTGATATTCCCAAACTTGGGCAGGTGTGTTTCAAAATGACTTCCAACATAAGAGCCATGCAGTCTTAAATATTGGTGCTACTAGGTTGAAATTAATCTGGCAGACATCTCAAATACCTATTTAATTCTTCATTGCTGCCATGCCTTATTACCAGGATGGTATATTGAATGCCAGTCTTTATCACCAGTCTGTTTTGATTGAGCCCTACAGCTTTTCCCCTGGAATCCCCTTTCTCTTATAAAAGGAAGAGGAATTTAGGAGAGCATTTAAGGACTGTAGCAGCCCCTTGATCACATAGCAAATGAAAGACAGCAAGTCATGTTTTGCAGTAGAGAACGTGTATGTTCTTCCATTCTTGTTTATATACTAGAGTAATCTAATCCCTGGGATTATGATATCCTCTGCGATGTGCAGTAATTAAGGATATACAGAAAGTGATGCTAGGTGACTATTACACTCCCCACAAATTATATAGTATGTCTTTTTTCCTGTTGCTACACTGCTTGCTTATAAAGTTGATGACAGAACTTATAAAGTTAGTAGAATGACAGTAAGGACTCCAACCTGAGGCACATTGGATACTCTGTCAAACTCCTAAGTTGCTTCTGGTGTCCTGACATGATCTTATTTACCATACTAGGCAGCCTGGTCTGTAGAAGTAATATATTGCCAGCGCCCTTTGGAGTAAAGTGGGCTTCGTATTACAAAAAAGATTGTCAACCAATAAATCAGGGCATGGAATGTTTTTCCAGAGTCTTGACCTTGATTTGTAACTCAGTGAAGAAGTCTAGATTATAATCTTAATTCAGTTTCTAATTTGCTGTGTAGCCAGGAGCAAGTCTTTCAGCACTGCCCAGTTTTCTCTGCTGTGACTTGCTTACCTCACAGAATTATTGAGCCTTAAATAAGGTAATGATGTCAACTAGCTGAAGAACGTGAAGCAAGTGCAAAGCGTCAGTAGAAGTGTTAATATTATGTGTACATTTTGAATTCTAAATAACTCAAGAAGGAACTTAGCCATATATAAATGGGCATCACATGTACTCACACTTAAATAGCTTTTTTTAATTAATAAACTTTATTTTCTTAGAGCAGTTTTAGAGTCACAGCAAAACTGAGCAGAAAGTACAGAGCTTCCATGAACACCTTGCCCCCATGCACACACTACCTTCCCTGCTCTCAGCATCCTGTACCACAGTAGTACATTTGTTATAGTTGATGAGCCCGAATTGTGACACATCATTGTCACCAAAGTCCATAGTTCACATTAGGGTTCATTCTTGGGGTTGTATATTTTGTGGGTTTGGACAAATGAATAATGACATGTATCTACGATGGTAGTATCACACAGAAGTATAGTATCACTTCCCTCAAAATCTTCTGTGCTCTGCCTATTTATTCCTCCTTCCCTCCTAATCACTGGCAACTACTGGTCTTAACTGTCTTCATAGTTTTACCTTTTCCAGAATGTCTTATAGAGAAAATCATATAGTATGTAACTTTTATAAATAGCATTTTCAATATCTCCTTTTGTAGCATTTAGAATATTTTCATGCTGACTTTTGTAACCCATAATTGGATTATACATCAACTTAAAGGACATGACTGGTATTTTTAAAGAAAATGAACTCAAATAGAATCGGAATTAGTACATCATTGGTAGACTATACGGTTTTTATTGTGTGTGTATGTGTGTGCTAGATTTTGATGGGTAATGTATTTTCCACTTGGATTGTGGTGAAGAAAAGTTGAAAGCTACTGTTAATTAATAAGTTAGGATAAATTTTGTAGATACAAATTGTTTAGTCATACAACTAGTTTCTGAACAAGATAGGTTCCTGTTTTATAAGAAGAAATTGAACTGAAATGCAGGTTGCTTGACTTACAAAATAACTTAGTATCTTTGCCCTTGACATATTTTTTTTTTTCATGAGATAATTCAAGACATAAAACAACTATGGTCGAACCAAATGATTCTTGTTCTTTTTATTTATCGTATTGCCAATAAGCTTTCCGCGTTGGCATATTTTTGATATATTCTGAATCATGCACTAATTACTAAAAATAAATGCTTTTGAAGATTATTTTTAGTCTCATATTTATGCTACCAAATTGTAAAAGAGCTGAAAGAAAATGTTTTATTTATTATTAATGATACGAGGCATGAATCACACTTTATTTATTTAGATAATCTCTTTTAAATTTCACTAGAACTTTGTGAAGTAATATTGTCCCTGTTTTATAACCGTCCAAAATTGATGTTAAGTGATATTCCCTGGGTCATAGTAGCTAGTCATAGGCAAGGAATCGAAATCCAGGACTTTGAATTCTTAAGTTCAGTGTATTACCTCTTAATACATTCTACTGAAATGGCTAAACTAAGTATTCATAAAGAGTGTATTCCCCTGAAGAGTGTTCGGATAGGAAAAGCTCAGCAGAGTACTGCATAAGAAAACAGACTTTGAGCACATCAGAATTGCCCTGGATACCTGCGGATGAACATGTTTCACTCCCACGTGAAGCTGCTTGATATAGTAGATGGGTTGGAGGCAGCCACTGACTTTGCCATAAACATGTATAGAATTACTTTGGTAAGGTACTTACCCGGCTTTCACTTTTAAAGTGGGAGTAATATTTGCCTTTTTTACCTCACAAGGGTATCATGAGGACCAAATGAAATAATTTATATGAAGAAGTATTGAAAATTATAAAACATGGTACAGAACAATGTAGGCAAAGAGTACAGGTGTTTTTATCTTGTCACAGTTAGTTTTCAGAATTATTACAGTCTTTTCACTTTTAATCCTTCACTCCTCACATCACTTCTTTATTTGCAGATGGTCCTGCCCCTTTTCTTCAAGATCTTTATAGTAGTGTAGCTCTTTGTAGTAGATTTTTCTAGTAGTGTATCAAGTAGAGCAATAAGAAGGTAGTTCATTTTTTTCTTTTACCTTTCTTCAATCATTTTATTTCTTTTTAATTCAGTGTAATTGAACTGGACCCTCTTCCTTTTCCCATTCTCCATATAATTGAAAAGGATACAGGTTAAAGTTACAGCTTTTGTAGTTAGCCTTAATATTCTTACAGTAACTAATAGGGTATGTATATTCCTTGCCCATGGCAAAGAAGTTTCCCTAAAAATCTGACTTTCTTAAAGACTAGTTAGATAATGTGAAGAACCTCGGAAGTAGAGGTCTGGAGATCCCAGGTAACAGATATCTTTCTGCAATCAGATAAGTTCCTTTTTTATTTCCTACTTTGAACACCTTCATTGGTTAAGTTGTTCTTCACTTAATGTTTGCTTTTTACCCATCTTTATCAGGTGAGGTAATGGTAAACCTTAAGATCCAGCCTTTGGGGACATAAGTGTGATTTAAACAAATTGAGTTCCTTTCTCCAAGCAAAGTGCCTCCTCATTCTAGGTCCTCAAGTATGTGCTTTCTGAACAGGGCAGTTGTTTTTCTGTGCTATTCTTCTTTTAAAATATGTGCTATTCTTTTTCTAAAATGTATTTGCTGTTTTTCTTTCTTTCTCTTTTTATTTCTGAGACACAGTCTCCCTGTGTCACCCAGTCTGGAGTGCAGTGGTATGATCTCGGCTCACTGCAACCTCCACCTCCCGGGTTCAAGCGATTCTCCTGCCTCAGCCTCCCAAGTAGCTGGGACTACAGGCACCCCCACCCCACCGGCTAATTTTCTTTTTGTATTTTTAGTAGAGATGGGATTTCACTATGTTGGCCAGGCTGGTCTTGAACTCCTGACCTCATGATCCGCCCGCCTTGGCCTCCCAAAGTGCTGGGATTGCAGGCGTGAGCCAACATGCCCGGCCTAAATTAAATGTTTTTAAAATTTTCTCCACTTAGAAGCATATGGCTAAGACAGGAAGAAAAAAGTTTCTGTTAAATAAAATGTTGTGTTGTTTTTTGTTTTTTTAGACTGAGTTTTGCTCTTGTTGTGCAATGGTGCAATCTTGGCACACTGCAACCTCCACCTCCCAGGTTCAAGGGATTCTCCTGTCTCAGCCCTCTAAGTCGCTGGGATTACAGGCGTACGCCCGGCTACTTTTTGGTATTTTTAGTAGAGACAGGGTTTCACCATGTTGGCCAGGCTGGTCTTGAACTCCTGACCCCAGGTGATCCGCCTCCCTCCACCTCCCAAAGTGCTGGGATTATAGGCTCCAGCTACTGTGCCCAGCCAGTTTTGTTATTCTTTATAAAATCTCCTTATGGTAGGAAATGAAATTTACTCCTTATCTGGACACTTAGTCATCTTTTTAAACTTGATTTCTCATCAGAACCATTTGTCATTAAGAATAGTAGCAGTGGGAAGGAAAAAAAAAAGGAATAGTAGCAGTGATCCTTAAATTTTTCTCAGCAGGTGATATATTTAGAATTTATTATTTCAGAAGTTTTTTTCTTATACCAAATTATCAGAGCTAATTTTTATTCCAGATAGTAACTTTTTCTAAATTTATTTTACAAACATCCTCATTGCAGTCTGTGTTGCAGTTAGGATTTAAGGGAGATGCTGCCATGGTGGATGAATTTCTTTGACATTTATAGAGTTAAAGACAATAGGATATAGCTGAAACTTTTTTTTTTAATCTAGTATGACGAATTAGTTCCCGCTTCTCTAACAACAAAATATGGAGGCTTTTATATCAACACTGGCACTCTACAGTTTCGCCAAGCTTCAGATACTGAAGAAGATGATATTACAGACAACCAAAAGCACAAGCCACCCAAAGTGAGTTTATCAAACATTGCAACAGTAATGAGAATGTTCAGTTATTAGGATTTTTTTTAATGTTACTTGTGTCACAAGTGTGAATGTAAGGAAAAGTAAAATACAAACCATTGTGTCATGGATATATAGTTACATGCTTTAAAATTAAATTATGTAGATACGGGAAAATTGGTATTTACATCATAGAATTATATTTTCTTTGAAAAACTTCTCTTTACAAATGTGGGCTAATAATTTACTGTTACTGGGAGAAGGTTATATTTCTCGGATAGGTTAAGACTTCCTATAGAAATGACTAATAGCTGTTACCTTTCCTGAGATGTCATTTGTAACAAACTCTATAGAATTTGTATACATTGTCTTTGGGAAAGATAGAGTGTCCTTAGATAAATGTTTCTTGAAGTGTGGTCCAAAGACTTACTTATACCAGAATCACCAGAATGCTTGTTTAAAATGCAAATTATGAGGTCCTAACCCAGATAACTGAATCGAAACTGGAGGTGAGAGTGCTCTTGAACCCCAAGGATCTGCATTTATAACAAGCGATTGTAATGCACACTGACATTTGAGAAAAACCACTGCTAATGCTGGATTGCTAACATCAAAGAGTAAAGCATTGATACTTTCATAAATGATCATTCTTTTACCATTTTGCAGGTCCCCAAAATAAAAGAAGATGATATTGAGATGAAGAAGCGGAAGCGGAAAGAGGAAGGGGAAAAGGAGAAGAAGCCAAGGAAAAAAGTACCCAAACAACTGGGGTACGTTCAGTTAAACCTAAGAAGGGAACTGGTGTCACAGTATGACTGTCTCTCCCTTTAGAAAGATATCTTGCCATTAACTAATTCAACTTAGCTGAGTCTAATTTAGTACGTTATTGACAAATATTAGTGACTTATATTTAATACTACTGTAGTATTTGTTCATAAGTAGAAGGCCTTGTAATCTTAGAGACTGAGTGTTTTAGATGAAATTTATAGATTGGTTCATTAAGTATTTTGCTCATTATAACTTTTACCAACAAGAACCAGTTTGAAAAGATATAAACATTGAAAAAACTGTTCTAATCTTTTGGTACTAAAACTAAGATGCCTGGGGAATGAGGATTAGCAGTAGCCTATATGGAAACAATTTATGGTTGTTCTAATATTTAAAATTTTGATTTGATTGATTGATTGATTGATTAGAGACAGATTCTCATTCTATCACCCAGGCTGGAATGCAGTGGCCCAATCTAGGCTCACCGCAACTTCCGTCTCCTGGGTTCAAGCGATTCTTGTGCCTCAGTCTCCCAAGTAGCTGGGATTACAGGTGTATGCCATCACACCCAGCTAATTTTTCTATTTTTAGTAGAGAATATTTTAGTAGTGAAACATGAGGGTTTCACTATGTTGGCCAGGCTGGTCTCAAACTCCTGACTTCAGGTATTCCACCTCCCTTAGCCTCCCAAAGTGCTGGGATTACAGACGTGAGCCACCCACTGCACGCAGCCAAAATTTTCATTGATTGTATATAGCTGTTCTTTTTTTTTTTCCCCTCCTTGAGACAGGGTCTTCTGGCACAATCATGGCTCACTGCAACCTCAACCTCCTGGGATCAAGGGATCCTCCTGCCTCAACTACCTGAGTAGCTGGGACTATAGGCATGTACCACTATGCCTGGCTAATTTTTATATTTTTGTACAGATGGTGTTTCGCTGTGTTACCTAGGCTGGTCTTCAAGTGATTCACTAGCCTCAGCCTCCCAAAGTGCTGGGATTACAGGCATGAGCCACTGCACACAGCCAGTATATAGCTAGTATTAATGATATTGCTGCTAAAAACGAAATAGAATTTCTCAGAAGCCTTACATCAGAAGAACAAAATATTTGTATAATGTAGTCAAAAATTACCAATTGCCTTGACTTCTCTGTGGCTTTTTTCACAGAGCTAAGGGAAAGACACTTGCGAGAGGCTGAATTTTCTTACTCTACTTAGCAGTGGAGGCACATCTGAATTTTGGGTTATCAATATCCATAAGGTTGATGTAGGGGGTATTTCTCTCCCTCTAAAACTTGGGATTACAGTCATTAAAAAATTAGGAGAAAAAATGTATGTATTACTAATGGTTGTCTTAAATGTTCATTATTTACAAGTAGACTTCTTTGGGAACGTAGGCTACAAGTAATCCCTTTTATTGAATGTGTTGTTTTTCAACTTTATAACTTATTCATGTATTCAGCTAATATTTATTAAGTACCCTGCTGTATACGAGGCACTGATGTAGGGTTTGGGTTGTATAACAGTGACTGAAACATGGGGCTGCCTTCAAGATGCTAATAACCTTTTAGGTTCTGTAGTGCACATAGAAGCATTTAAGCTATAGGATTTAGAAAAGATGTCTAGGAGGAAGTAATAGCTAAACTGAGCTGTTTCCACATTTTCTTCACTATAATGGCCATTTACCTATTTGCCTTTCATGGGTGACATTCCAGATTATTCTGAAGAAGATGCTATTGTAATGGTATAAGTTAATAAGAAATTAAGAAAACTGCTCTGTCACCTGTCAAATGATTATTTTAATTCTGTGCCTGCTTATTTATATGACACTTTAAAATCACACATAGCCTAACTGATCATTTTTTTCTTCACAGAGTTGTGGCTCTAAATTCACACAAGTCTGAAAAAAAGAAGAAACGTTATAAGGATTCTCTTTCTCTGGCTGCCATGATCAGAAAATTCCAGAAAGAGAAGGATGCATTAAAGAAGGAGTCTAACCCCAAAGTCCCAGTGACCTTGTCAACCCCCTCTCTAAATAAACCCCCATGTGCTGCTGCAGCACTGGGGAATGATGTCCCGGACTTAAATCTGAGCAGCACTGATCCAGACCTTCCCATTTTTGTTAGCACAAATGAACATGAGCTGTTTCAGGAAGCTGAAAATGCCCTAGAGATGCTAGATGATTTCGACTTCGACAGATTACTGGATGCTGCTTCTGATGGTAGCCCCCTATCTGAATCGGGGGGTGAAAATGGAACCACCACCCAGCCAACCTACACTTCTCAGGTTATGCCCAAAGTGGTACCTACACTCCCAGAGGGTCTACCTGTACTTCTTGAAAAACGTATTGAAGACCTTCGTGTAGTAAGTGTAATAATTCTCTTGCTTTTTATTTGCTGCACAAACATGAGAATTAATGCTTTTGTTTGTTTGTTTTTATTTTCCACATAACACTGATATAATTGCTTTTGTTTTTTAAAAGATAATAACCTACAATCCCAACATTTTTATAACTTTTTATTTTCCATGTTTCCTTTTAGACCTTTCTTTTTTTTGAGACAAAGCCTCGGTCCATCGCCCAGGCTGGAGTGCAGTGGCGTGCTCTGCTCACTGTGAATTCCACCTCCTGGGTTCAAGTAATTCTCCTGCCTCAGCCTCCTGAGTATCTGGTATTACAGGCGCCCACCACCTCCCCCAGCTAATTTTTGTATGTTTAGTAGAGATGGGGTTTCACCATGTTGGCCAGGCTGGTCTTGAATTCCTGACTTCAGGTGAACTGCCTGCTTCGACCTCCCAAAGTGCTGGGATTACAGGCATGACCCACCGCACCCGGCCTAGACCTTTTCTTTTAAATAGAAATAACTGGCTGGGCGTGATGGCACATGCATGTAATCCTAGCACTTTGGGAGGCCAAGGCGGGTGAACCACTTGAGGTCAGGAGTTTGAGACTAGCCTGGTCAATATGGTGAAACCCTGTCTCTACTAAAAATACAAAAAAAAAATTAGGTGGGCGTGGTGATGCGTGCCTGTAATGCCAGCTACTTGGGAGGCTCAGGCAGAGAATTGCTTGAACCTGGGAGGTCGAGGTTTCAGTGAGCCGAGATTGTGCCACTACACTCCAGCCTGGGTGACAGAGCAAGACTCCGTCTCAAAAAAACAAAAAAAACCCAAATAAATAAATAGAAATATCTTAGTGATAACATCAATAGAGTTGATTCTTTTATTATTAAATAGGATTCACCTGACTCTAGAGTAGATGGCATAGGTATTTTGTTATCCCATGTGGCCCCATCTCTATAATCTTAGTTTCTTTTAGGTTTTAAAAAGTGCTAATGATGCAATTCAGGTTTTTCAAGGTGTAATTATTATTAATGGCTTATCATTTATTTAGTAAGAACCAGTCCTGTGTGTTAGTTCCTTATTTATAAGATAGGGACTGCAACACCATCTTTTTTGGCTGTTACGAAGGTTAAACATGGTGATGAGCATGAAGTCAGACACATGGTAGGCAGTAACGTGTATAGAAAGTGAGACATCTCCTTTCTGTGTCCTTTCTGTTACCTTGGAAATCACAGCAAGAATTAATAAACCTATGGATAATCAAAATACACAAGATAGCCAAAGTATTTGCCTCATTTTGTGAATTTAGGAAGATAAATTATATGTATTGTATGTATATATATATCAAATATGAAAGAGAAGGGTATGTATGCTGAATTTCAACACTCAAACTGCATACCAAGGATACAAAGTTAAGTGAATTATAGCCCTACCCTCAAGGAGCTTATTCTTTAGTAAATAGATATGGAAACAGTATCTTGTTTTTTGAACTGTGGATTGAGACTTATCAATGGGTTGGAAATCACAATAGAAGGTAAAGGCCAGCATATTTAAAAAATGAAATAAAAATGGCCAGGTGCGGTGGCTCACACCTGTAATCCCAGCGCTTTGGGAGGCTGAGGTGGGCAGATCACCTGAGGTCGGGAGTTTGAGACCAGCCTAGGCAACATGGTGAAACCCCATCTCTACTAAAAATACAAAAATTAGCCCCGCATGGTGGCAGGCGCCTGTAATCCCAACTAGTTGGGAGGCTGAGGCAGGAGAATCGCTTGAACCCAGGATGCGGAGGTTGCGGTGAGCTGAGCCTGCCACTGCACTCCAGCCTGGGCAACAGAGCAAGACTCCATCTCAAAAAAAAAAAAAGGATAGGAATACGTGCTAATACATCAAAAGTAGGTTCCAAAAGTATTGTTGTATGACATTTTTGTTTATATACGTGTGTAACTACTGGATGACCAAATCTAATTTTCTATAGCTAGGTCATATAAAAAGTCTTGCGGTTATAAAGTTTAAAATTCTATCAGAAATTCTTCTAGATGTTTTTACTCAAAGGAAATCTATTTTTTATTCACATTAGGCTTCGGTAAGTACTATAGATACATCATGGAGACATTATAACTTAATTTGCAGTTTGATACCTTTTATGACCTGTGATGGTGATTGAATTTAAAAATAGGCAGTACTAATTTATTATTCACATTACTTTTTAAAAAATATTGTTTTTGCCTTCACCAAATCATCAGTTAAATGACCTTTTTAAAAATCCTTTATTTCAACAGTTGTACTATTGATTCCATATTACTTTTTCACTACATGTTTGACTTTTTAACTTCCTCTTAGAGATTACCAACTCTACTGATTTTTTTGTTGTTGTTGACTATATCTAAGATTATTTTTTTCCCCAAAATATAGCACACTGCCTCCAGCCACACATTTCAGCTGGATGATTGACTGTATCCTGGTCAGCAATCCTCATGGAATGTAGCTAACTCTATTAATAATTATGTCAGTGACTCCTTAAGGACAGAGTCATAGAATCTGTCTTCTTGGATTCAAGTTAGATATGGCACCAGATTCTTTTGTCTGCTCGTAGAAGTCTGCAGCTTCAGTGTGGGTCGATCACACGATTTGGACCTTTTTTTTTTTTATCCTACACTATTTTTGTTTGTTTTGAGACGGAGTGCAGTGGTGCGATCTCAGCTCTCTGCACCCTCCACCTCCCTGCAACCTCCGCCTCCCGGGTTCAGGTGATTCCTGCCTCAGCCTCCCAAGTAGCTGGGACTACAGGCGCGTGCCATCACACCTGACTAATTTTTTGTATTTTTAGTAGAGATGGGGTTTCATTGTGTTAGCCAGGATGGTCTTGATCTCCTGCTTCAGCCTCCCAAAGTGCTGGGATTACAGATGTGGGCCACTGCACCCGGCCGATATTTTAAAAATCTGTAAAAGTTGTGATCCTAAGAATATGAAAAACAAACAGATCAATTCCCATCAAGGTTAAGAGCCTCTGGAGGGACCATGGGCCTGCTGACACCTTGATTTCAGCTCAGTGATACAGACTTTGTACTTTGGACTGAGGAAGGATAAATTTCTCTTGTTTTAAGCCAAAAAGTTTGTAGTTTGTTACAGTAGCTGAAGGAAACTTACACAGTACCCAGCTGAACTTGAATCTCTCAAATGGCTTTGCCTGTCTGTTCATCACAACTCATTTGGTGTTCTGATAGGAGCTTCTTTTTTTTTTCATTAGATATTAATCTCAAAGTAATTGTTTATTGCAGCAGGGCACAGTGGTACATACCTATAATCCCAGCTACTTGGGAAACTGTAAGGTGGGAGGATTGCTTGAGCCCAGGAGTTTGATACCAACCTGGGCAACATAGTGAGGCCCTATCTCAAAAAACAAAACAAAACAAAAACCGAAAAACCTTTGAACATGTGTCCCAAGAATACAAAATAGAGTAATGGCTTATTTTGAATTATGACCATCTTTCTTGTTTCTCTAGGCTGCCAAACTTTTTGATGAAGAAGGAAGGAAAAAATTCTTTACACAGGATATGAATAATATTCTTCTGGAGTAAGTAATTTTCTTTAAAAAAAAATTAAGAATGATTCATTAAAAAATGTAATAGGCCTTTGAGCTGCTGGGTGATTGGCAAGTCTTGGGCATGAGTTCTTCCCTTTAAGCCTTACAGCATGTGTGATTCACATTTGTTTCTCAGCAAAATTATGTTTCTGCATGTATTGGTTTTCCTGGACCACTTAGGATAATCAAAGCTTCCAATAGTTACAACTGCCAGAGCAAGTGACCACTGTACAGGTTGGATATTTAGCTAGACTTAAATGTACTTCATGTCACCTTATGTGAAAGTGTCTTTCTGGGAAATGTTAGAGCATTTATATATGGATTTAGCATGATTTTCCATCTACTTTTATTACTTACATTGGGGAATAGCAATTCCATTGATACCTAGTGAGGTTAATTATAATTTGTACAAACTTTTATAGTCAAATGGAAAGTACAGTTTTGTAAAGAAATTGTGGTTGTGAGGTAAGATAGAGATAATGTAGAGGAGATAGCAGTTAGATTGAGAATAAGGTGAAGGTGGATATATAATATAGATTGTATTTAAATTAGCAAATTTTGTATTTAACTTAGCAATAATTTTGCACTCAGAATTTGATACTAATGAAGCAGTAGGTTCTAAGGTTGTGGTCAAATAAACCGAACTTGTAAACCTTGTTCTCGACTTAGATTTTAACCATTGTTTCCAGGAATCAGCTATATAATTGGATGCAGAACTGGTCAAAAAGTAATCATGGGGAAAATAGCAAATTTTCACCTCTCTGGTGAAAATAATATTTGCTTATTCTTAGTGATTTAGTAGCATCATATATTATAGAAAGACACAGGAAAGGCCAGGCATGGTGGCTCATGCCTGTAATCCCAACACTTTGGAAGGCCAGGGTGGGAGGATCACTTGAGCTGAGGAATTTGAGAACAACTTGGGGAATATAGTGAAACTCCATTTCTATAAAATATACAGAAAAATTAGCCAGATGTGGTGGTGCACACCTATCATGTCAGCTACTCGGGAGGCTAAGGTGGGAGGATTCATTAAGCCTGGGAGATTGAACCTGCAGTGAGCTGTGTTCGTGCCACTGCACTCCAACCTGGGTGATAGAGTGAGACCCTGTCTCCAAAAAAAAAAAAAAAGAGAGAAGGAAAAGGGAAATAACGGGAAAAGGAAAAAAGGAAAAGGAAAGTAGTATTTATAATACTATAATTGCCATCTTTTAAATACATAATGGAGATAGTTTCTCATGAGATGTGAAGAAGGGCTGGTTGAATCATTGCTTCTGATAATGCTTGTAATTTATTACAGTCTATTATTTTGGAGTACTTAAAAATAGACTCAGAAAACATATAGTCTGCTGCTAGTATAGTGGCAGAGGAGTTTCTCATTTCTGTTCCTAGTTATTTTAACCAGGAATTTTCAGATGGAGTCTTTCTGCCTGGCAGCCAGACAAATGCTTTCTATCTACACCAGCTCCTTTTCCCTAGTTCCGTTTAAAACTCCAGACTCAGTGAACAGTGCAGCCATGACTTGTCAGAGCTGTTCCAGATTCCATAGTCAGGGATCTGACCAACTCTTCTTTTTCTTTCCACCTGTGAACCCAAAATGTGATCAGGTCCTTCTCTTGTGACTGAGGCTGTTCTTTTTTATTTTACTCTTCTGTAAAAGGGAGCAACTGTTTCTGTCCTGGGAGAGTCAAAAGACCATCCTTGGGACATAGCTTCTCAGATAAGCAGAATATCAGCATTCCATATACAGGCTTTCCTATTTATTCCTCTCATGTCTATCTTAAAACGAATCTTTTCATTTTTTGGGGCCCATCTGCTTTTTATTTCACAGAGGGTATGCCTCCAATTTCACAAGTACTAGTGTTCTGAGTTGAAGTTTTTCCCTTTTAGTCACTTTCTTATTCCCTCAGCCTCTTTTTCCACTTTCCTAAACAAACATGTCTTATTTTCTGTATTGAGTTGCCCTCCTAAAAGAATATGGAACATGATTTAGAGTAGGAACTTCTGTGAAGCTATCCAGTTGTATTGGTGATGCCTTGCCTTTGCTTCCTTATACTAGGGGAAAAAAAGATCAGTTTGTTGGAATAGGGAACCCTCTTCCCCCTTTTTTGCCTGATAGAATTTTGCCTACTCAGAACACTAGATCAAGAGATACACAACATGCTGACTTGATTTCCTTGCCTGCTACCTAGAACAGACATTGCTCATAATTTTTTTTTTTTCTTTTTTGAGACAGGGTGTCGCTCTGTTGCCCAGGCTGGAGTAGTGCTCATGGCGCACTGCTGCCTTGACCTGCGGGCAATTGCCACCGGGCTGAGGGGTAGTATAATATCTCTTTGAGGAAAAGAGCTTTTGGTTAATTACAAATTTATTGTGCTTTACCTGAAAACATAGAGTTTGCCCCTGTAACCCAAAAAATATTTCCAGCTTGTTCATGGTTATAGAAGTTCTACTCTTAGACTAATAGAATACTTTTATAGCATTACTATTTATTGGTATGGGGCTGGGCACAGTGGCTCACACCTGTAATCCCACACTTTGGGATCAAAGGCCAAGGCGTGTGGATCACCTAAGGCCAGTAGTTCAAGACCAGCCTGGCCAACATGGTAAAACCCCGTCTCTACTAAAAATACAAAAAACTTAGCTGGTCATGGTGGCGGGCACCTGTAATCCTGGCTACCTGGGAGGCTGAGGCAGGAGAATTGCTTGAACCCAGGAGGCAGAGGTTGCAGTGAGCCGAGACCACGACATTGCATTCCAGCCTGGGCTACAAGAATGAAACTCTGCCTCTAAATAAATAAACAAACTATTTATTGCTATGGGTTTTTTTCCCCCCCCCATAAAATATACTCTTTAGGAAATCATGAAAAGATAAAATGAGAACAAGAACTGGCTTTGCTTTCTTGTCTGTACAATGCCACCTAAAACAAATTCTATATTGTTCATTGTTGTTAACTTTTTTGGCCAGCATTGAGTTACAGCTACAAGAACTAGGCCCCGTCATTCGCAGTGGTGTCTACTCCCACCTTGAAGCTTTTGTGCCATGCAATAAAGAAACACTAGTAAAACGTCTAAAGAAGTTACATCTCAATGTCCAGGTAAGAGGAAGAACAATAATATCTACATCTTGGGTTTCATAACCTGTAAAGACAACTTGTTTTTATTTGACCCCCGTCTCTCATTAAAAATACAAAAAAACTAGCCGGCGAGGTGGCAGGTGCCTGTAGTCCCACAGCCTACTCAGGAGGCTGAGGCAGGAGAATGGCGTGAAACCGAGAAGCGAGCATGCAGCGAGCCCAAGATCGTGCCACTGCACTCCAGCCTGGGGCGACCAGAAGCGAGGACTCCCGTCTCAAAAAAAAAAAAAAAAAAATCTTATTTTTAAAATGTGAACATCTGGCCAGGCGCCAGTGGCCAGAAAAAAAAAAAAAAAAGTGAACATCCAGTATCATCGTTCCTAAGATGATTACTTTTTGAAGAATTATGTAGCTTAGACTTCTTCCCGGAAAACAACCCAAATATCCATAAAATAGTCAAATGGACAAAAATTAATTGGGATATATTCACACAATGGAACGCTGTGTTACCCAGCCAGTAAAAATGATGTATTTCCGGCTGGGCCACGTTGGCCTCACCGCCTGTAATCCTAGGCCACCTTTGGGAGGCTGAGCTGGGAGGATTCACCCTGAGGTCAGGAGTTCAGACCCCAGCCTGGCCAACACGGAGAAATCTCGTCTCTACTAAAATACGAAACTAGCTGGGCATGATGCGGGTGCCT